CCTATTTCAGTTTATCTTTTAAATCCGATCTAGATTGTGTCGTCACAAAGGATACAATTGCAATAATGAATGTAATTAAAAATTCATCTCCACGCTTTTTTCTATTCTAATGTTTTTTGTTTGTTACGAATAATGGAAAATTCATTTTAAATTTGACGAAAATTGACCCCAAAACCATTTTAATCACAATCCCTTATCTAAAAAGGTTTTCTAATTCCGGAGAGGTAACATATAAATAAAAAATGCAAATTACTTGCATTTTATTGTAATTTAATTTTGCCAGCTGACTGTAATACATTTTAGGCGGCGCTGTAAACAATGTATGGTATCAATAAATTCCTATTTCATTTTTGAAAATTTTTAAGGCTTTACAGACACCTTATATATCTTTTGCAACTCGTCTGTCAATGCCATTTCTGATTTTAGTCAAGGGCTCGCGACCTTGATTTGGACAAATATTGTTTGAAAAAGCCGCAATAATTTTAATCTCTCAAAATCGTGACTGCGCTCATAAAATCTTTAAAAAGAAAATAAAGGACAATATTTTGGGTTAAAACATTGCTTATTTGGTTGTATTTGGTAAATATTTTTATTTATGTTACTTTCAGCGATTTTCCGGGTTTTAATTCGATTTTGGTAATTTTATTTGAAACCCACAAAAGAGAATTTCCTTTTAAAAATTAGAAATTGAAATTTTGATGACAAAAATTTTCTTTTTGAAAAATTAAAAAAAAAATGGCGGTCGATCTTAAAATATCAAAACATAGAAATCTTCCAGGTAATTAAAATCATAACGGGTTCAGTATGTACTTTGATGACAAGTGGTATGTCATGGGTGGCTGCATACGCATGCACATAGCGCCAAAATGTCTGAAACATATTGTAAAGTCTATCATCACATTATTAAATCATTCAGCAAGTTTCAAAAAATTTTCTTTTTAATTTTCGGATTTCGGATAATTAATGAGTGAAAATCGCTGAAAGCCGAAAAAAGCGTTTTTTTATATTTATGCGATAACGATTTGTGTTTTTTTATTCAAAATTCACAAGTATCTTGGTTTAACGATGAAAAAAATTGTGCTATCGGCAGAGATATTGGTATCCAAAATATTCTATCATTGATGGTCTATACAAGTTTATATTCATATTTTATATTCATTTTTTTCAACTTCATAATCAACTCAAAATTGAGTATTTGTTGCCTTCAATATTTGATCCATTAATATTTATATATGTGATTTTAATTCAATTCGACCCTGCCCGCGTATCACACACACACACACACACGTACTACTCTCCTATTTACGTTAAAACTATTCGCTATTCGAGTCGTAATTTGATCCTTAGATTGTTTTTCGCTATAAAACATCAATTCGCATAATGCGTTCCCTAATATCATAATTGGAGTCCATTTCTACCCGATACTATTCGATCCGGAACGATATCATCTGCAATTTAAGTCAATAATTTGATTACTTTAGGCGCACTTAACGTAGGAGTTACATTACTTATTATATATTACGAGAAAATTGAGAATAAATTAGGTTTTGAAAGCGAATATTATGATTTAAAATGTTCCAAAGTTGTTCAAGCAGCTAATGAATGAGAAATTTCAGAAGTGCGTTGAAAATAGAATGCTGAAATGGAATTTCTTGAGTGTTCTGATAACCAGTATTAATATTTTCGCGTCTCGCTTCACCCTGAAATGACCTTCTTGATTGCATTTTTATATTCTGTAAGTAGATCAGCCTTTTATGACTTGGGCCCCCTTCCGGGGCTTTTAGCACTCACGGCCCCTGTTTGTCATTCCAGTTGTGTTTATAGTATTTTTTGATTGGTAGATTTCAAATCACATTGTGTTCAAACAATTCATGCTCAACGAGGTGAAAATGAAATCAGTGGCATTGTGGCCCCCCTCTAAGTTCTCTGTTTCCCCCTTAATCCCTCGTTGTAAACCTATGTTATAGTAGGGAGTCTTGTTTGTAGCGAAAAGGTAAAAACGTTTTATGTAAGAATCTCATTCCCCTCATTTTTGTCGCTTGTAACAAGCCTTGTGGGGAGCGCAACGCTTCATAATAACACCTTTCCTAATTTCTCTGTTGTTACCGAATAAGAAATGGACAAACACTTGAAAAAGTGAAATAAAACTGTTGAAATTCCTGACAGCTATTGAACACACACTCCACAATAGATCGGGCACACTTTCAACTTATAAAACCACTTTTTATTGTTAACAACACGATGACAGGGAGGCGTTTAAGTGGACCTCGGAGTGTTCCCCTCAACGAGAAATTTGTGGAAGTTGGATCGAATCTATCAAATTTTTTGTGATGTGATTTATTCAATTCCTTAAAAATCAAAAATCAAATTAAAAACAAGTTTATAGCCAGGGACAGAAGTCTGACATACATAGGACGAAATCTCACAGATACATCAGTATGAAGCAACACTCTTAATTCACTTAGAATCGTTATTCTTGCTAATGTGTCTTTGTATTATACAAAGAGTTACAGAAACACTTTCGAGTGCAGCAAGGATATTAATTAACTTAGAAAAGTCATCTATATTCTCTTTACAACGTCCTTGTATTATGCTTATACAAAAGCATAACTGATAGGTATATATATAATTCAGGTTGAGCTCTACGTGAATAACTATTTATTTTTTTGGTGCTCCCGAAGTATGCGAACCAAGATGGCGGACATCGGAGCGTAACATGGGTAACAGGTTAGGGTTAGGCGATAATTTTTTTCCAATTTTCCCTATTTTAGTCCTATTATCAGTTCGAAGACTAGCCAAGAGCCTCCCGTAGTACTTATACCTAAAATTATGGCCTAACCCTAACCTAGTACACATATTACATTCCGATGTCCGCCATCTTGGTTCGCATACTTCGGGAGCCCCATTTTTTTCCTATGGTTTGGGAATGGTAGATTCACTCGCATATAATGCATGGATGCTGTAGCAAGAATAAAGATGAATATTTTTTTTTTCGAGAATCTTCTTAACACAGATTTATTTCTGTTTCGTCTGTAACGTCCTCTATTTGTGTTAGTGCAGAGCAAGACTTCGGAACCACTTAAATTATTATCAATTAAGATCGTAAAATACGAAAGGGAACACTGTTTTCTGAAGTGCATCCTAATCACAATACAGTTCACTTTCATTTATTGATTTTTCAACCTTTTTATTAACTTTCATTCCAAGGTTTCGTGGTTTTATCTGCGGTTTGGATTCCGCTTTCAATACAATCAAATAAAAACAGAGCCAGTGAAAAAAATTTGAATACTCGAAATTTAAAAAAAAAACTAAAAACTATCATAATAAGCAAATTTGAGTAGCAGAAAATTGAACTAAGAAATAAACGTTCGCCCCTAACCGTATCAAGTTAGAATAATTTTTTATATTAGGTTGGTCAACGTAAGGTCCCGAAGCCACTGGCATTAGAAGAATTATATGTAGGCTTATACTTGCGACATAGATACCGGGGAATAATATCAAGTAATCAAGTTTGTCGAGTTTTGTTTGTTTTGTTATCTTTGCTAAAGCGATTAACATGAGACTCAAAAATTACAAGGATATACTGTACTGGAAACAACAGATAAATAAAAGAGAATCCCATTTTTTAATTGACTATTTATTTTCTAAATATTCGTGGATTCCACAGCTGCTCAGAACATAGTAATAAATTTAGTTCATAAGAGGTTTCGAGTCGCCTTCTGACAAAGAATTTTAATTTTCCATTGTTAAAATGACCTCTAGAATTGTCCGCAAGGTCACTTGAAATGTCAGATGTGACAATAGAAATATTTAATTACTTAAAGAGGAATTCGAGACTGATTGAAAGGAAAATGGGGTTTGAATATTAAATTAGGTCTAAAAATGATAGATTTGACTTATTAAGATTTACAGAGTTGTGATAACTATTGGAAATCTGGTTTTGAATCCCGTGGATCTGAATCCAAAGCTCTAAATAGCATCCAATTTTGTTTCATATACTGCAAGTTAATGCATTTTAGAAAAATAATTATTAATAACAGAAAAAATAGTGGTTATTTTTAATTTTTCTAACAGTACTCTTTTTATTTTTAATTGAGTGCTCGGGACCTTGTCTTGAGCGAACTTGCAGCTCTTCTATCAGTACTATTTTCACTTTTAGTTAAGTGCGTGGGACCTTCATTTTAGCAAACTTGCAATTTTTCTATTAGAACTCTTCCCACATTTAATTGAGGGATCGGGACCTTACTTTGAATAAACGTGTAAAACAAATAAATAGCTCTTTGTGTATTAGTGGTTTCTCGCAAGTTCTTTATCAGTAACTCCTCCCACTTTTAGTTGAACAATTACAATAGTTGTGAATATTAAATCCTATAAAATGGCTCGCAAGTCCACTTATGCTTTTCAATGGCGGACAATGTCGCATAAGTGGCAAACGTAGGTCTGAGGGTTGTTCAGCCAAAAAGCTGGACTAATAAATGTAGAAATAATCTTTCACGACCGCTGAGGTTACAAATTAAAATCTGGCTTTGTTAAATGTATTTATGAAAATAACTTTTACTACCATAAGTGGTAACTTATTCGTTCGATATTAAGCTCTTCACTTCAAGTACTGTTAATGAATAACTGACCGCTTTTCAAACGCACGACATAACACCCACTCTGAAGCTTATCTTTCTGAACAATGCTTGACCCTTTCGGGGCCACTCGCTGCCCAATTTGCGCCATGTTTTTAGGAGATTAGAGGGTTGGAATTATGGATAATGGCCGTTTTATGAAGAGATGTATTTACACGCGTGTCCCAAAATGCGCTAGTTTTCATCTTTCGATCACATTGTCGGCTTTAAAAGCTATGGTATCACTACATTCGTCTTTCATTAATTTAACTCTTCTTACAACTCTTTTATCAGTGCTATCAGTTGAGGTCTCTAAACTTTCAACTTTGCGAACTCGCACAAAATATATATACAACCATAACTAAACTGATTCATTTCCCTTTTTAGCTTTACGAAATCGACGATGATCCCGTTCGAAAGCAATTCCTGGACGAGTTATTCACTTTCATGCAAAAACGAGGTAAGATTTATAGTCATTCGATGGCATCATTAAATTTAAGACGTCATTGAGGCTCAAACAAACAAGATGAATTAAAAAATTAAATGACGTCACAAAGTCTTGTACTACAAGATAGATTCAAAATGAACTATAAAAATGATGCACACCATTGACATCACTGACGATCACTATAAAATTATGATATTGAGATGACGTCAATAATGACGTCACGGCTGATGGCTATAAAATTAGGTTACGAAGATTAGGCCATTGATGATGTCACAGGAGTTCGCTTAAAATTGAGATACGAAGATGACGTCAATCACAATGTCACAGTGGCGCTCGTACTACAAATTAAATTCAAATTTAATATATAAAGATTATTGATTGCGTCACAATATCACTCACTTCAATATGGATATAAATTTGAAATAAAATGACGTCTCTCGTATGACGTCATGATTTCATATCTACAGAATATACTGAAGCTTATACATAAATAATGCGGTCAAAAATAGAAAAAACTTCTATAATATATCAAAGATTGTTTTGATGATAAATGAAGTTAAATTATTGAGCGCACCCGCCGTAAATTTATCGAGTTTCCCAGGAAAATTAGCAGGGCGCCATAAACACTTTGCTTCGGCGATAATGAAATAATATGATTATATCGACACTTACTTCGTTAGAAAAATTAGAAAACAAAATTAGTGCGATTGAATGGAATTTTATGGTTGATAATTTGTTAAAAAAGATAAATGGTATTACATCCCAGCAAATGCATCTGAAGTAATTTACTGGCTAACTAATCCCATAACCGACTTGGACTAGTAATAGGACAAAAGGCCATGGTTCGCCATAGCCATCTTATCGGCTTTCTTATCCCCGGGAAGAATATGGAAAACATTTGAAAATTTTTCTAAAATTCAACTTTGTAATTTAGTACTGAAAGCTTGTCTGGTCAGAATACACCCTTGTATGATCCATTAAGGAAATTCTGTCTCTTTACAGTCGACTGCACATTTACAAAATATTCTATTATCAATTTCAAGTCCGTTTGAAGTGAGAAAATTTGATTAGCAAAATCTATTGTTTTGCTGTCAATAAATATGAAGAAAATTAAGAAAAAATTATCGCTTTCATGTTTTTTCCAAAAAATTTAATTAACATAGTCTCCATATAATTATGTTTTAATAATAAAGAAAATTTCATTTTAAAATGTATTAAAATTATTTTTGGTTATTACTCAATATTTTTTCAAAGATAAACTTTTATAAAACAGTAAATTAAATTGATGTGACAGATTTTGTGATCTAATAATACATTTGTAAATTATGGATTGTCACGCAATAATATATTTTTCTTTCAAATTCAAGCTCGTTTATTTCGTCATAAAGAGTCCAATCAACTTTATATTGTAACGCAACAAAAACCACTTTGTGGGGGGTCAATGACCTTTTCCATGGTACAGTAAGTTAATCCGGTACCTTTCGTGATCAGAAGATTTGAGACGCTTTTAAGAGACATCAAAAAAATTAGAACAAAATTAAGATCTTCCTATTAGAGTATTTTCTCTTCAAATCAAATATAAAACGTATATAACTAAGGTATTCAAAGGTATAAAGCATCTGTGGCCCAAATTATACTTCCGATGAGATACTATACAGCTATTATGGACATTTTGGCACCAGTATCACGGAGCATGAAGGTCTTCATTCCCTATTTGTCAATTCCGTGTCCCTTTGACATGTTTAGTCTCACTTTTGACAGGTTTAAGAACCGTATTTATGTATTCAGTGGGCTTAAAAGCTGATATACGATATGAGGTGTTTTTAATTGGGAGCTTTTGTAACTAGAAACGGATAGAGACTGAAAAAGGGTAATTTGAAATCTCGCCATTCTAACTTCATTATTAGTTTAAAAAATGGCCCATTCGCGCATCTAAATTGTAATATGATGTTACAATAGGCTTTATGTCGTTAAATTATGTATTATGACGTCAATTAATATAGTTTAACGTCATATTTTAATTATTGCGTCAAACCTTGAATTGTGACCTCATATACAATTCTTAATTCTCAACTCCTTCATTCAGAACGAACATTAATGACGTTAAATTTTGCATTATGACGTATTTTTTGTAGATTTTCACTCCACCCCACTACCCCTCGTATGGTCTCTAAACATTGGGTTACAAGAGACCCCGCCACCCAAATTCTCTTATCAGATATCAAATCTGAAATATGCCACCTTACACAAAAATTTATGACATCGTGCCAGGATGGTCGTTCCGGTCGATTCCTTAATCCAAGGCAACGGTATTTAGTGACAACACGACAATGAATACAGGAGCGATTACCACCCGCGTGTTCGGAGGGTCTCATATTCAATACATTGTGTTTTCTCATTTGTAGCCATTTTTAAATGTATTTTATGAAATTTGAGGAATATTATGAGGTGGAAAAATATTACAGCTATTTCCCTGGCAGTTTTGACTTGAATTGTTTCGGGTTTCAATTTGGAGATTTACTGATATCTTGGTCGCAAGGATAATCATACGTAGCAATATCAGTGCATCAGTGACCGTTTGCAATCTTTCTATCAGTAATCTCTCCAGTTTTTTTAGAGCGCGAGACCCTTCATTTAAGAAAACTTTTTTAAAATAGGTCTCATTTTACATGTAATCAAAACTGGATAGCAAAGATTCCTGAGATCTTTTTTACGAAGCATTAATGCAAAAAATGTGAGATTTGAAAAACCAGCCCACCACGTTTTTGGATAACAGCTCAGTAATTATCCAGTTGGGCTTAGGATTGATTTAAAAATTTCCAAATCCTAACCTTAACTGGACTAATTTTCTTATTTTGACGGTTGGGCGGTGTTTTTTGGGGAGGGGGCTTTGTACAAAAGATCTGATACCGGACCTTCGTACAATGGGCTTCTTGTACAAGGCATAGATCGAAGTGCAGGCGACAAAAATCTTTGATATCTATAATTTGGTCAATCAAACTACCATACCTTGGCCAAAAAATAAAACTTTAGTTCACAACAGAACCGCATGCTTCAAATTTTCTGCCAACAATTCTGTCGATAAAAATATTTAATCTGGGTCGGCGGTTAAATTTTGAGACAATTTTTAACCGGTACCATAAACAAGAGACTTATGCCACATAATTCGTCCTAATATGGAAAGACCACCTAGAAAAAATTCACATATATTTGAATTACCACTGGGCATATATAAATGGGCCTCTAATCTAGGAATTTATATGTGGGCGAAGCTTGTTTTTTACCTAATTTCCCGATACATTTTGCGCATATTTTGGGAACGTAATTCTATAATGCAACGTCAATTTTTGTTGTTACCACAAATAGTAGTTTATACATTTGATATGAAACCTTATCAGGAGGAATAGACGCAGAACTCCATTCTGTTGACAATGAAAACATGATTGCAACGCATTTAATTAATATCGAGACATTCCAACGACAACCAAGATAAAATCACCTAATTTGGGGGCGTAGACACGCTTGTGTTCTTTTTTTTGAGACATGTACGGCCTATTCGAGGTTTATTGTAGTAAACTGGAGTTGTGGTATCAAATGTGACGTCACACTACGACAATATGACTACACAATATCTTTAGAAACTAATGTGATGTCATATTACAAGAAATGTCGCATAATACATTTTTAAAGTATATTGTGACTTAATATATTAGGGGACATGGCGACATTTCAAATGCTAAGAACCCAATCAAACAGAGCAGAATGCGAAAAAGTTTAAACGAAAATATTCTGCGATCTTGGAACGAGTCATACCAGACTAATGTGTATGGTGACCTGTATGAGGTCGCAATTCCTGTATCGCTATAACAATATATTTCAGCGAGAAAAATCTAATTCGTTGTTTCATATAAGTGATTAGGTTGCGGTAAATCGCGCATACATTTTTCAACAGTAATCGGGGTTCTGTCACCTCGACCTAGAAATTTGGAATAGTACCAGTTCATAATTGTACAGGTCGAAGCACTTTATTATATTAGTTTATTCGCTCATTTTGTGTTACAATATACTTTCAACTTCATTATTTATTCATTTTATCTGATTTAGAAGTGACATGCGTTACGGGAAACGCAAATCTACCAATTTTCACAAAATATATGATTTGAAATTTTAACCCAAAACAGTCAACAGCGTTTATTTCTGGATATGAATTTTGCTTAAAGCCCTCGACCGTGAAAGGGACCTCGGACTTTGCTTTCAGCCAACTTGTATCATAAACTATATACATCACGTCAGCGCTTGTTTGCAACTATAATACGTACATAATAAATCTTGCCTTGAGCAAACTTGCAACTCCTCTATCAGTACTCTTTTTACTTTTAGTTGAGGGCTCGGGACCTTCCTTTGAGCAATCTTGCAGCTCTTCTATCAGTACTCTTTCCACTTTTAGTTGAGGGCTTGGGGACTTTGCTTTTAGCAAGCTTGCAACTCTTCTATCAGTACTTTTTCCACTTTTAGTTGAGGGCTTGGGGACTTTGCTTTGAGCAAACTTGCAGCTCTTTTATCAGTACTCTTTCCACTTTTAGTTGAGGGCTTGGGGACTTTGCTTTTAGCAAACTTGCAACTCTTCTATCAGTACTCTTTTTACTTTTAGTTGAGGGCTCGGGACCTTCCTTTGAGCAATCTTGCAGCTCTTTTATCAGTACTCTTTCCACTTTTAGTTGAGGGCTCGGGACCTTGCTTTGAGCAAACTTGCAACTCTTCTATCAGTACTTTTTCCACTTTTAGTTGAGGGCTCGGGACCTTGCTTTGAGCAAACTTGCAACTCTTTTATCAGTACTTTTTCCACTTTTAGTTGAGGGCTCGGGACCTTGCTTTGAGCAAACTTGCAACTCTTTTATCAGTACTTTTTCCACTTTTAGTTGAGGGCTCGGGACTTTGCTTTGAGCAAACTTGCAACTTTTCTTTTAGTGCTTTTTCCACTTTTAGTTGAGGGCTCGGGACCTTGCTTTGAG